CCTCCGCTTGCTACACCACTGCATAGGCTCCATCCATCTTTCAAAGAGGGATGTAAAGTAACATGTTCGTGCTATGAGTAGCTAGTAGACATCCCTACTCACACGACATTGTGTTGATTCCATCCTTTTACTCATGGCACATTCGGGTGGGCGTTGACCGCTTCAGTCATCATAAGGCTGCCAGCACAGGCAAGGCGGGTGCTGGGACCAGCACGCAACAGCAGGAGTCGATGTGGGGAACCACAACGAAGATGAAAACGCTTCCTCGGAGTGAGCTTGTTGTCCTTCCACCTGGGGCTGGGAACCTCTGTAGAAAAAAGACATGACTTGTTCTCCTTTTGCGGCACTTCTGTTATCATAGCTTTTCCCCTTAGGGTTATGAAGTGGTAATTTTATTGGATTCAAATGTAATATTGAGATGCTCGGGCTTTCTCTTTCCATTGTTGTTTTCTCACTTCTTTGATGGCCACATTGCCTATATGTGCTTCCATTCCACATGCTTGGGGGGTCCCCAAGGGTGCATATTCGAACCGTGAGTGGTCTGAGCGGGGCCCGGAAAGACTCACATGGATAACATACCGACCTTGGGAGCTAAACGAGCACTTTTTGGAAACGGTCACTTTTTAGAGGAGCAAATGCATGCTCCTCTAAGTATTGTTGACCAGTTAGAAACGGTCACCTTTTAGAGGAGAACATGCATGCTCCTCTAAAGTATACTCAGCATTTTACTCCTCTAAATTTTAGGAGATGTGTTAGAGTTGCTCTAAGGACCAGCAGTGACATGATCATATATCTACCCTGAGTTATGGTTGAACAAAAGAATACCGACCTTGGGAGCTGAACGAGCCGCCTTGATCGTATGTTTATGTGATATGTATAAAGTGAGAACACAGGACATGTTTCACCAGAAAATATTCTTCCACTACACATTATTTAAACCAGTAGTAAACAACATATATAGATGTATGTCTGTATCAGCTGTGAACAGTGTTACCCCCCGCCCCAAACAACAACTTGCAGGCTACCTATATTTCAGAATCATAACACCAAATATGTTTGCTTTAGGCTAACATAATATATGAGGACCAGCAGTTACATCATCATATATCTACCATGAGTTATGGTCCAGCAAAAAATATACCAACCATCAGTTGACATCGCATACTTTCCCGCCAAAAAAAGAAAGACATTGCATACTAAATTTGTCAGAAATTCATTAACTTTCAAGTATGTAGATCCAAATATATTTAGAAAACTAGGAACACTTGTTCTGGAACAGAAAATCATATGACGGAAATTTGACGAGTAAACTTAAAGTTATTACAAATAAAAGTAACCTTTCTAGTTTTCGAAACTAGTACATGGAACGACAACAGAGGCAATAGTTCCCTGTGAGAACAAAAACCCCGATAACTTAGGTGCCAAAGGGGTACACAATTTGACACCTCATCTGCACGGTTGTTCATGTGCTCACTCTGTGCCCTCAAAATAAACCAAAGCATTTGGAGAAGCTCTGTTCTTAAAATCCTTCTTGCTATGTTGTCTAGAGCGCCATTCGTTGTTCCAGCTAAACGGGACATGGAGCTTCATGGACTCTAGCGCTCTTGCGTTCAAAACAAAAAACTTGGCAAAGTTATAATCAGGTTTCTTGCCTGAATAATTTCTCACTACTACTTGCTTTAAATGTCTATCAACACACTCAACAGTAGTAGCAGCTGGATTGTCATTCTGCTTGTTTGGAACATGGCTCATCAATGTCTGAAAACGAAGCAAGAGAATAATTTAGAGTAGACCTACTCAACATATATCGGAATGGATAAATAGAGAGTACATAAAAGCTACTCCCTCCGTCCAATAATATAAGAGCGTTTTTGATACTAGTGTAGTGTCAAAAACGCTCTTATATTATGAGACGGAGGGAGTAGCTAATATAAGATTGGATAAAGAAAGAAAGAGTTGAGCCAACTCATGTTTATGTGAAGCTGTTGTAAGCAGAGAAAGCATTGGAGGACGTCAATGACATGATTTAACCTAAGACCATGGAGAATGAGCTTCAAGATCTTTACATTATGCGGCGATGACACAAGATTTTTGTGAACCATTGCCTAGATCGATCATCAAAACATGAAAGAAAACTATTAATAAAAGTGGGTGACAAATTACTAAGTGGTTGCAAGCAGATCACTGGGTTTTAAGAGCTTAAGTTACCTGGAGTATTGTGTTCCCAAGGTGTAGGGTGGACACCATATCACTGTGCAGCCAACCCAACTGTGGAGTTTCGGTCCAACCAGGACACGTATGATACGTGGACCGTAATATCCACCATTACAGAGCAGGAGTTGATGTAAGCTTGGAGTGTTGACGATGATGAGTACCTCCATCCTATCACAGTCTGGGTCAACCGACATGGTGAAGCTTACAAGAGTTTGGGAGGTGATATGGACGCAACGGAAGTGATAGCATCTGTTGAGGTAGAGGGTCATGAGATTTGGAGATACGGCGATCATGGCATGGAGTGTGTCCTCTGAGTGTGTGATCCGGAAGAGTGAGGTCGATGAGATTTGAAAAAGTGATGGCACCCACGAGATGAGGATCCTCAGGGAAATGGCAGTAGCCAAAGCTGGCGACGCAGAGGAAGGAAAAGCTCAGCGTGGATGGCGGCAAGGGCAGCATCGACTCGCCGGCCTAAAGTGGTTCCGTATTGTTGACCCGTTGGTAGCTGAAATGAAACACCTCGAGGTGATCGTGAACCTTGGATCGGAACCATCCGCCGAAGATGGGGAACGTGTCTCGGTCGCCGAAGTGAC